AAAAATATACGAAAACAATAGTGAAACAAATGCAATAAGATAATTATTTTTGAAACAATTACCGTAAAAACAATGTATAAAATATAATAAAACTAAAAAAATCGCCCCAGTACGTCTCCATTACAAATTGAGATACATAAAAAACTATTCAATCGATTTTCATTGAGCAGTCATGGTTCGAATAATAATTAGATTCAATAAAATTCATAATATTATAATATTAGAGGATGCCGACTCAGTTAGTATCAATTTCAGCTTGTATGTGTTCATAAATGAGTATTATATCTTATTCTATCACATATAATTGGATATAATCTTCATTTATCATACATTGAGATCGATAGATAACTGTCCGATCAAGTACATTGTTGGAGAACATTTTTTTGAAACAATTATCAGAATCCACAGAATATGATTGTCTACAATTGGATGTAGCATCCATTAATCACACATTGAAATCTATAGGAAACTACGTTCAACTGACAGCGATTGACACATTATTAGGATCTATAGAATACGATTAGATTAAATACGATTGAATATTGCCACTATTTTCTTTATACATAGAAATCGATAGAAAACTATCGTTTGAATGCGATTTATAACTTGTTTTTTTAATAAATAATTAGAACTCATAAAATATGATTGCATTAAATACTATAGAATACTGACTATTCACAATACATTAAGATTGATACAAAATTATTCGATTAATACCGATTTGGGTATGATTTCCATTCAAGCCTTTTAAAAATTATAAAATAAGATTCGATAAAATACGATTGGATTGATTTTTACTAAGAGTGTTATTGAAAATGATTAATTATCATTCAATTAATGGGCACTCTCGCTATTCATGACAATTGGCATTAGTTACTATTGAAAATGATTCATCTTCAATCGTAACTCTGACATTGATCCATTTATTTGATTGAAAACGATTTATTTCCATTCCATATGAATAATTTTGAATAGGAACCAAGGGAATTTTTTTAGCAGGGCTGAGACTCTTTCACAAAATCTCCTATTAGCCTGGTCCGCTTAAGGTAAGAAATTTAGTTATTTACCTGCACGATCAACCGAAAGGTCGTTATCCCTTTAACTAACCTCTGCTTATCTCCCGACTAAGATCCAATCTTTACCTACGCGACAGTATTTTAAACGCCGTCTCGTCTAGCCATAATAGTACTATTTGCTTCCCTTAAAAAAAATGATCTTTCGACACTTGCTTCGCTGAAAAGAGCAACAGCGACAAAGTACAAGAAAAAAATGGCCTGCCGGCCTTTCCGTTATTTTCATATAAATTACAAGGCATGCTTACATAGAAAAATTGTTACGACGAAATACTTATTAAAAATATTGATTATTTATCGAGATATCACTGTTGAAAGATTTCGTAAACAAGCATTATTCATTAATTTTTTTTAGTGAACTAGAAGGGTGTTGTTTAAGTTATTAACATATTTAGAGGGTGCAATTAGAGATAATTTGACTAGTATTTTTTTCTTAATTTTTATAATCTGCCGGTTAGGGTATGTTGGGTGATGCACCCTTCTTACTGAGACTAGTGTAGTGGATAATGAAAAAAAAAAACATTCGAAATATCTCTAAATGAATCCTCCAAAAATGATCATTATTTTAATTGAACCCTTTTAGTTGTCCCATAAAAATTAAAAACTATATACATTTTTTGGTTTTTTGCAACTACGATATTTTTAGCAATACTTATTATTTTTGCAATAAATAAGACAAAAGAAATTGAACCCTTACTCATTTTAATTAAACCCCTTTTACTCTTTTAAAATTATTAATATATACGTTAAAAACAACAATCTAATTTTATTGTACGTTCTTACTAAAACGCATGCGCGTTAACTGATCTTTTTGTATATAGTTTTTAATTTTTTTCGGGACAACTAAAAGAATTCATTTAAAATAATGGTCATTTTTGGAGGGTTCAATTAGAAATACGAGGTGTGTTAAAAAAATAACGAGAATTTTCGTTTTATGAAAAAAATATTTATTTATTCATCTACATTAATGTTGTCGCCTTCAAAGTAGTCCCCTTCGGATACAATACACTTATGCCAACGCTTTTTCCAATCCTCGAAACACTTTTGAAACTCGATCTTTGTAATAGCTTTTAGCTCTTTCAACGATTCGCTTTTAATGTCATCTATGCTTGTAAAACGACGGCCTTTTAATGTTCTCTTTATTTTTGGAAATAGAAAAAAGTCACATGGAGCCATATCTGGCGAATATGGAGGCTGAGGCATCGTTACAGATTCGTTTTTGGCCAAAAATTCACGAACAAGCAATGAAGTGTGAGCAGGCGCATTATCGTGGTGCAAAAGCCATGAATTGTTTTGCCACAAATCCGGGCGTTTTTTTCGGATTGCTTCACGCAAACGACGTTGAACTTGTAGGTAGTACTGCTTATTGATTGTTTGACCTTGTGGCAAGAATTCATAATGCACTATGCCATTAAAATCGAAGAACACAGTGAGCATAACCTTCACATTCGACCGCACTTGTCGAGCCTTTTTCGGTCTTGGCGATTCAGAATGCCTCTACTGGGACGATTGAGCCTTAGTTTCGACATCATATCCGTAAACCCATGTTTCGTCACCTGTTATAACACGTTTTAGTAGTTCTGCATCGTTATTGACTTCATTTAGCGACTCCTGAGCAACTTCCATTCGCCGCTGTTTTTGTTCGAAATTCAACAATTTTGGAACGAATTTTGCTGCCACACGTTTCATACCCAAAACATTCGAAAAAATTTGATGGCATGAGCCAACTGATATGCCAACATCATCAGCGACTTCTCTGATTGTGATTCGGCGATCGTTCATAACCATTTCTTTCACTTTTTTCACGTTTTCATCGGTTGTTGATTTGCTTGGGCGTCCGAGTCGTTCGTCATCTTCAACGTTTTCGTGGCCATCTTGGAAACGCTTATACCACTCATAAATCCTTGCTTTACTCATAGCAGACTTACTATATGCCTTTGTTAACATTTGACAAACTTTACTACACTTTATTTCATTTTTTACGCAAAATTTAATACAAATTCTTTGATCCATTTTTTTTCACAAACGAAAATCGCCGAGCTCGAAAAACACGTCTAACGTTAGCGGCTGCCACTTAAAAAGTAAGCAATGAATATTGCTGAAAATTTTATCGTACTTCAGGGGCATGTGTACCAACATAATAAAAAAAAATTTTATACAAGCGGACTCTCCAAACCCGCGAAATTTAAAAATTCTAGTTACTTTTTGAACACACCTCGTATTTCAAATGATATTTTTTTTCACTGTCCACTACACTTTATGGGCTGGAGTAAGGGAGGTGTCCGATGCATGCATGATATGCATACGCCATCTCTATAACTTTGAACTGAGTGAATCAGTAGTAAGTTTCTTAATGAAAAATGATACGCATTTTAATTTATGAACTCGAAATTATAGAGCTGGTGTGCGCATACAATAACTCGGATGGGAACGACCCCGCGGTCGGGAAGGAAGAGGAATCCCTTGTGAACACTCTCTAATAGCTAATAAGTTATTGAAAGGGCTTAAAAGTTAGCACCCAACAATTGAACACCCAACATTTCTATAAAATAATTGCACCATTCGATTGGGCGGGTTTTAATTAATCACATATCGTTTGTGCGTCGGTTATGCTCATTTTCTTTATATTATAACGAGTTTGATGTCAACTCATTATGTCTCTCTCTCTCTCTCTCTCTACGGCGATAATATAAAGAATACCATATATTTATAATATCATATCTTTTGAATTATATTTCTCCTTAGCAGAAGCAGACAACTGCGGAGAACAAGGTAAGAGAGAGTGCCAGCAGAGAGAGAGACCGCGTGCGCGTGTAGGTATAACTGTATGTGACGAGCCGCGTGCCACGTGCGGCGTGAAGAAGGACCGGCAATTAGCGGATAGTTCGCGAGTCTAGCAGAGGCGTTCGCAAAGGGCCTAGCCGGATAAGATGGTCGAAACTGCCCCCAACGGTAAAGCCAAGCGGAATATGGCATCTTGTAGGGCTTGATTAGAAACTCTTCTGACCAAATTTTCAGACCCCTAGGTGGCCAGGGGCACTCTGTAGATCCAAAAAAGGATCAAACTGTTTTTGTGAGATAACTCGGCTTCTATAATAGCTAACGGAACCAGCCGAACGGCAAAAAATTTGTCTTAGAAAGATCTATATACTAGAATTTTTCCAGATTTTTTGGCGCCAAATTCAAATTTTTAGAACGGTTTCTAATTTTTAAAAATTGAAAAAAAAAAAACAAAAAATAACTCCGAGCTTAAAAAAATTTATTTTGTTTATTTTATATTCCTCTATATACTCAAATTTTTTCAGATTTTTTCAAGTGGTGGAACATCGATAAAAAAATTAATAATCATTTTTCGATCATTTTTCCTACGTTTCCGACGTTTCACTCAATTCCATCGATCGAAAATCATTCATTTTTCTATATTTTGTCAATTCTATAGTTACTGCGGTTATATATGATGTCTTTATACCATCTAAATGTAGATTGATCATTGGCTGAACCTCTTATTCGATTATATATTCAGTGAGATGAATAAATCAGCGGATAATTTTTTGAGAATTTTTCTACAACGTTCCGTGTAATATAGTGAATGATATTTATCAGTTATTGTACACAGAGAAGAAATATGGTAACGGTTACCGGAAAATTACTCTATTCTACATATCGCAAAGGATTTGTAACTTCCGATTAATATTCTCCAAACTAAATTGATATAAGATGCATCAATAAAATATTACGATTGAATATATTTCTAAATTTTTTATGAGCAAGTTCCACACTGTTGGAATTCCATATGATTGATACGAATGTTATCTTTTTTTTTCATAATAAAATCACAAAAGCTTAACAGTACCAACAGCAAATAAGAGGATAAAAATAAATTACCAAAGTAGATCGTTTTGAAGATGCGTTTATTCTAATATTTATTTAATCTTCATCGCTGTCATCATTTATGACAGGAACTATTTCTTTTTCTTGGTAGATTTTTGTCAATTTTTCAGTCGGCCTTATAATTTTAGACAAGTATCGAGCATGCGATAAAAAGTAAATTACTGAAGCTATATGTGAACAGCAACCAACGGTTCTCATTCCATTTGCACATTCACAATAGTATCTTTTGACTCCACCATATCCAATCGAATTAGGAGTATATTCTATGTAGCAATTATATGTTTTGGCAGATATGTGGCGAGAACGAACTTGAATTTTGAGTACACTTGATGATTCCTTTAGATAATCAATATTTACTCGACCCTCTTCATCAATTAATTCAGCTAAATACGAAATTGCTTGGCTCAACTGATACGTTCCTGTGAAAAAAATTTTCAAATCTTCTTCTGTCATTTCTGGAAAATCTAAAATATCGTTTGAAGTTAGTTTCATGAATTTCGTTTTTCACCTACTCCATCTTCCACTTTCCGCTTCTTCCGCCAAGCTGTTGCCCGTGTCTTTTTTCCTTTTCATAAGGTTAACCACTTCTTCACTACTAGAAATGCTGGAGACGAATCTTTCCCCAAATAGATTGATAAGAAAGCAAGCTATGCGATAGTATGTTCCTGCGTGCGGAATCATTTTATTGTCAAATTGATTATGTAAAAGTTTGTATTTTTGGCTGATAACACCGTGGATTGCTTCAACGACCCAACGTACAATTGTAACCATGCGTGAATTATTTGCCTCAGTGGCTGTTAGCTGTTTTCGTTGACCTTTTAATGCTGGCATGAATCCTTCATACCCCATTTCAGTTAACTTGCAAATAACATTTCTAAAACCTCTGTCCAAAAAAAATTTATCACCAGGCCTTAAAAGAGTGACTAAACCTTCAGGATCATTAAAAATATCTTCAAGTATTTTTGCATCGTTAACATTCGCATAATACGGGCCCAACATGTCTACTATATAACCATTAGTTGTGCAAATTGTAAAGTGTTTGCACAACGGAGCTTTTTTTTGACCTGAATACGATTTACGTTGATATTCGTTATTTGTACTTTTTTCATGCCTAAGATATGTACCGTCACTAAACCCAGTTGACTATCGTTCAAATCGTGTAATAATTTTGCGACTGGAGCAGTGTGATTTTCTATCAAGTACTGTCGGTTCGCTGCTTTTATACCAAAACGAGATGGTAGCACATCTTTTTCAAATGATTCTAATACTGAAGCTGAAAAATCAGACACTTGTTGAGGACGCTCCAAACCGAGCACAGAAGAAATAACGTTATTAGAGTTGCCTGTTCGCAGTTTGAATAAAAATACGACGATGGCTTGAGTGACATTTCGAGAATCTGAATTACGTAGTGATGTCATCATTGCACGCAGTTCGAAAAGATTTTCCCATGTCAAGCCCGTGAAAATGATGAGACGATTTTCAGGTAAAGAAAAATCTCCAACTTTGTCAGTAAGCTCTTTATCAACATCTATTCTGAACTTTTGTAAAAAATTAGAAACATCAGAAGCTTTCATACTGCTAACATTAGATGTTGCTATGATGTCATTCATAACTTCTTCGTATAAACGTTTTTTAATAAGATGATCTCTTTGCAACATCGATTACCAGCGGGAATGAAAATATTCCTCACAGTGAAAACTTGCAACCGGGCTTCCATTGGTACTGCCATAAGATTACGATCTTTTCTGCATATACAGCAATATTTATGTGTGGCAATACATCTTGGTATAAGTAATTCTATTTCGTCTTCCTCGACTATCTTTCGTTCAGTAAACAATATAGGAGGATCTCCAGGATCAGTTTGTTGAGACGAATTTGTTGAAGAAACAGATAGTTGGCTGAACGATTGGGATACTTTATCTTCAGACTGATTTGTTGTTGTCGCCTCTTCTTTTGTCAATCTACTCCTCGTACATGAAAAAACAGCGTAACACTTGCTACAGATAAAATCGTCAATTTCAGCATCAACGTTAAGACATTTTTTCAAATCATCCACCACAGATTGTGATTGAATAAACCTTTTGTAGCCCGTTGATTTTCTTTCATTCAAGTTGCATCTAATACAATTTTTGTAACGTTGTTTTGTATTTGTAGTGGAAGACATAATGAACCTGAAATTGAATAGAAATCACTTATATAAAACATATTGAGTTTTATAGTAGAAAGAAATAGAAAACGGATGAAACATTGAGTTTTATATCATGGGGCGTTGGTTTATCTAAAAAATATATTATCAAAATTGACTTAATTTCATCAAGAAATGATTTAGGTTCTACACTATTAAAATACAATAAATTGATCCATACGATCCATACGATCATACCTTATGCCTATTACGACACGTGACGTCTCGATCTGTCACACAATAATAAAGGTCTGTTGGATTGCATTAAGTAGAGGGGGTCTAGGCAGAGTGTGGCCAATGGCCGCCATATTGTCTCAAATGTGACGTCATACGAGCGCGCGCAAGCCAAAATGAAATACCTTTAGGTTTTAGTTTCAATGCAGGGTTTCACTTTTTAATTATTCATCTGATTAATACACTACATGAAAAAGAATGAATATTGAAATGGAACTTCAGTGCAAAAATAAACCATCTACGTCTATAGAAATAAGGATATATATAGAAATACATAATAAATAATGCAAATCAAAGCATTTGCATCAATGTCAGCGAGGTGCAATATTGTTTTCAACACATCATTTTATTTTATCAAGTACTTGACTAAATTACTAAATCGATGCGAATGTAAAAATCAACAAGAATCAACGTCAATAGTTTCAGTCCATAACGTAAACATACTGGAAACGAAGCTGCACTATATATATAGATATACTAATGCATGGGGATGGACGCCATATTGTCCCAAAACTGGCTCGACCAATCAGCGCGAGAGACGCGGTTTGGCCACACTCTGCCTAGACCCCCTGTAGCATTAAGGTTAGTTGGACATGTCATTATATTTACTGTTTACAGTATCTTGTCTTCTACTCTTCTTAATAGATTGCACACTTCGCATGTTTGCTAATATTATTGTGTGAGTTAATTGTTTTCAGTAATAAGACAAGTACAGTTTTCAATGTATACTCAAAAACATGACACCCATTCAGATAAGTATTGATGAACTCTAGTATTGTAATAATAGGTAGAATATGACTCTTTGTGAGTGCTTTGTTATTATTTACAGGTTTTATTCAACAAAACTCGAATGGAAATGAAGTGGATCTTCATGAATATTTTTGAATATTTTTGAAAAGTGAAATTACAACTGAAATCATATTAAGGTGGGTTGCTACTTGATTTGACCAACATCCTAAAATTTTTTCCTAACATTCAACTTTCTTGAAACTTTGTGTGTATGCACATGAAAAAAGAAGACTTTTGGTTACCTGCAGGATTTTTTAGACAATGCCAAACCCAATTTATTAATATTTTAAGGTTTTTTTAAAGGCATTTTTAAAAATAATCCTTGCATAGGTATACTACTTTGACAAAAAAAATTGTTCGGAGGCTCATTTTCTTCCTCAAAACCTATAGAACAAAGTCTTGGTTTTGGAAAAGTGGTGGATTGAATTGCTTTCAAACAAAACCAATATATACAGAATTTATAGATTAATTATATTGAAAAATAGTATTTTCTATGTAATTGCTTGATATCCTTTGATTTAGTTTGCTGTAAAAAATACCTGGAAAAAAATTGGGATCTAAGACTTTGTTCTATTGATTTGAAGGAAGAAAATGAGTCTTCAAGCAATTTTTTTGCTCAAAGTAGTAGAGGCATGAAACTTTTTGAAAATTGGTTTTAAAAAACCTTTAATTAGTAATAACTTGGGTTTGAAATGGTCTAAGAAATTCTGGAGGTGACCAAAATTCTTCTTTTTATATGTAGAATACATGTGTGAAATTCAATAAAAGTTGATTGTCAGGAAAGACTTTTAGATTTCTGACTAGAAACCAAAGATGTTTGCTCTAATACATTATATTGGATATATTTGATATTTTCATGGTGGAGCATCGTATAAACATTAAAAATGATCAATTTAAACTGAATATATAGCTCAAGAAGTATATAGCGACAAGATTCTGATTCATAAATCAAATTAGTAAAACATAGTGCACATACTTTAAAATTATTTTTCTTCAGTGTTGATTTTTTAAAAAAGGTGTATGAAACCTCCATGCAAAATAATCTAGCCCAGAGAGATTTCTCGAAAGTCTACGAAAAATGATTGTTGGTAATAATTGGTTGGCAAGACATTCCCAGCTATACCACCAGTAACTAGACATACGTAAGTATATGAAACAGTAGGTTACGGAGTCTATGTCAGAAGTAAAAATTCATTACTATACAATTCTCAATAATTCGACTTTGAATATTTATTTCGTTAATTTTAGCTTTAACACTAGCTGGTCTCTTAATGATCTTCTTGTTCAACTTGATCATCTTATTATGACATATGCAGATGACACTTGATTTAGTAAGAATCAAAATGTTGATAACTTCTGTTTTTTTGGTACGCAGTAACAATGTGTCCATTGATTAGAATATATTTATAGCAAATAATAGAATAAAACTAACAGGAAGTTGTTATTATCTAGGGTGGAATTTTGACTTTAATATGAAGTGGAATATCAACATGTAAGGCTTAATAAAAAAATTGGATATTTTATTTTTGTTATAGCTCAACTAAAAGAACACCCGATTTGAAGCCTTACAAATACCAAAGAGTAGTGAAATTATAATAAACAAACAAAGATACATGGTTTCAGTAAATGTATTCAATAATTTACTGAATGAATATGAACGTATTAAAGGTAGAATACTATTAATAGAGAAGAAACTTGGAGTTTTTATTTACTGTAAAATAAATAAATATATTCCATCTTTTCTGTACATATTGATCTCAATGATAATTTCTTTATATGCTTCATAAACTTTATTGAAAAATAGTCACATAAATAATTAAAAACTACACACCTATGCTCAAATCCTGAATCTATTATTATTGTTATAGATTATTTTCTTCTTGAAAATAAATTCCACTGATTCACTGTATATTAAATAAAATGGATTTAATTACATAAAAGGAAACCTTCAGTTACAAAACATTTTTTTTTTGCAAAGGCCGGTTGTTATTTGATTTGATGCAGGAAGTATGTACGTTTGACCTAGGTCTAAGGCTGTCAAGAGTTTGTTTAATAAATTCGACCGGTCCGTTTTTTCAGGCCGAGTCCGCATTCCACTTTCCTTCAGATCATGTTGTTATTACAAATTGATACATTAATACTGAATTACAGTACGTAAGCACAGCAATCAAGAGTGAAATAATTTGTATATAAAATTATGAATATTAGAATCAATCATTCACTTTGGAATATGTATTGTAACGGGGGGATAAGCTGCAAAAATGAGAAATTTATTTAAGAGCAAACTCCCACGATGCAGAGCAAACCACCGCTCCGTTAACACGTATGTTAATACGTGTATTCGCCTTAACGTCAGCTGACTTAACTTAGTTGTCTTCGATCAAGCGGAGTTGAACTCACCTTAAGTCACGTGCCTTGTGACACACGATGAGTTTTAAGTATAATCGACTTTACTTCTAATCCACTTAATCCCCTAGCTATAATAGGATTAAAACCTAAGCTTTTTCCAATTGTTTAAACTACTAGGAAAAAATTATATGACGAAATCGGCGAATAAGTTTAATAGATTTTATTAATAAAAATCTCTACAGTCTTTGTCGGGCCGAAAGACTGACGCACGCGAATAGGATTTACAATTAAATAACTTTCGGTGAGAAAGAGAGAGAGAGAAGATACGAATTTTGGCGCGATCTAACGCTCGACGCGAATACAAAAAATTTAACGCTAACACCGTTGGACAAAATATCAAATGTATTTTGTCACGCGATAATTAAGGGAGGTTCACCTACCCTGCGGTGCAATTACGGTGATCAGCCGTAATTGTTGAAGCAAATTAAAGATGCTCCTCCGATCCGAATCAGCTGTGCTGCCTCGATCGCAAATCTGCTGTATAATAGCTGTTGCTTATGCTGCTGCTTCCGTGATGGTGCTACTGTTGCTGCTTCCTCGCTCACCCTTGCACAAGTATCCAAAATCCAAATAAACTTTTTTATTGGCAAATCGGTGAAACACTGTGCTAAACTATTTTGGCGGTACTACACACGTAACAGCTGAGATGTAACTGCTAATTCAAAAGATCGCGCGCCCCCTCTCTCTCTCAATACTTAGAACTAACGCGCGAAAATCAGAATCGCGAACGGTTCGATTAATTGAATCGACTACCGTTGCAGCCCCCTCCAAGTCCTGACTACCCGGGCAGGACGAATACCCGCGATTCGCTGCCATCAGGAACCTGAAAGTAATAACGAAGGAAAGGAAACAAAATAATAACTCCCTTCTTTATTTCGGCTAATTTATTTGCCCTCCAGGGCCTACATCATCGTTTGGCTACACCTGGCGCGCGATGTTTCGGGTAGCGCCAGTGTGTAGCCTTCTTCGGGCACCGCTGGAAGTTGGTCACCCCAGGCTCCCCACAGATGTAGCAGCCCTTCAGCTGCGACCGAGATTGAGCAGCCTCCCGGTCCTGTGATGGCTGCTCAGCAGCCAGAGGGGACTGCTGGGCACTGACTCTCTGTGAGGCGGTGATGGTCACGCCTCCCACCGTGGCGGTCGCACGTCCATCCTGCGACCTGACCACGATGGTGGTATCAGGAGCCATGCGCCCGTCCACATGGACCGTGAGCGTCGGTCCAGCGTCAGTAGCTCCCGGGGCTCTTTTCTCTTGAGCCGGCGCCGGGAGCGCTGCGGAGGACTCCATGCGGAGGACTTATCCACCCGCAGCAGGGCCTCTCCGTAGGCCCTCTGACGCTGAGCCATCCCTGCCCACTCCCCGAGCAGCTCTTCTGCGCCCTGGCGGCTCAAAAAGCGTCTCAGGTGCTCCTGCACCTGAGACTGGAGTTCTTGAGCGAACCGCCAGGCTCTCTCCACCTCGTTGATCCCCAGACGCACGTGTCTGAAGTCGAGGAGAAGAGTAGGCTGCTCAGGGATCCGGGGATGATTGCAGACCCAATGCGAGGCCCCACA